ATATTTTCAGAAATATAAATGTAAAATGTTTCAACGAAAACTGTTCATGAAGTTTGTTTAAAATTTCTAAAAATAGAACTTCCATACAAATTAATATTAAATAAAGATGACTAATATAAAATAATAATAATATATAATTCACAAGTGACAAGTTGCGTGCATACATAAAAAGTTTCAGTTAGTACACAATTGACACGGTTCACCTTCGATAGACGATAAATAACGTGGAAATTTATAAATCAGTGATTTATTATAATATTTCAATATGTATATTAGTATTTAGAAATTATCGTGCACGTGTGTCATACTTATACTGTAAGAGACTGCATTTATGAGGGAAGTTTACTTAATTGGTTAAGCCAAAACATTAATTCAGTGTTAATATCAATTAAACAAAAATTTAATTATTGAAATTATTTTAGATGGAAAATAAAAAATTTGTAAATGGAGAACAATAAAATACATCTTATTTAAAAGATCTAGTTAACGAAGTGACTGGCTGACAATAACTATTAGACAAGTATTTCAAAAATATTATATTCTCACCTGTTTTATACTAATTAATCATTTAGTATGCATGTAGTGTCTCTTACTTTAGCCATAAGCTGTTCTTTAATAAAAAAAAAATGTTTTTTTTCGTCAATAGATTAACAGGTATTATGTCATACATCAGACAATGACGTATCTGAGATAGAAATTTTTCTTATTTCATATGTGTATCAGTCTTTTTTAACTTTGCTTTCTACTGGATTAAATTTCGCAAAATAATCTTTACATCTGTACATTTATTAAACATGTGTTCAGTGTTAAATTTTTAATTGTTTATTAATGTAGTTTGGTTTCTTATCAACAATTGTTCCATTAATCAAACCATTTTGTTCCAATTTTTTTTACTCTCTAGTCGCGTTCGATTGTCATTTTCATTTTGTATAATTTTGGCAGTTGCATATTTATTTATGTAAACTAATATTTAAGGTTTATTTTGTAGTACAATTTGTTTGCAATCATAGCTGTTGGATTTGTTATCTGAATAACTTCATTCTTCTGTCAAATTTAAATAAGTGCATGATAACCCTTATTAGTGGATCATGTTTGGTACGCATTATTTCAAAATAATGTACTTACTTTGAAATATTGAATACTATTATCAGATTCTTCATTAAAAGTTGTTACACGTGTTATTCCCGTGCTATCAGATACGTCAACCACAAATCGTTTTCCATTTGGTGATTTAGAATTGAAACAGTTTGTCATCGTTGGCTTGTTTTTTACTAGCTCAAATATTACAAATCTGCATAAACGTATTTTTATTGTAATCTGTCCCATTAGTGTTAGCAAAACTATTTCATAATAACTCTTCTTTGTTGTTAGTACTTGTTTTATATTTGACTTTTGTATTATTCTTTTTTTGTTTATGTTTTTATTGTTTTTACATTGTTGACTAAATCTGAATTGATTTATTTTTTTCAGTAAGATTGAACTCAATAAAATGAAATTTAGCTACCTCTTACATCTGACATACTTCTTATGTATGTGCATTACGAATGCAAATTCGTATTTTTTTACATAATATTCATTAAAACTTCTGTTAAAAAGCTTTGTTTTTAAAGAAAAAATCATATATATTGTTGATAATTACAAAAAAAATTTTAAATAAATAAAATATTTAGATGGTTCTAAAGTATAAATATAAAAAAAATTTGGTTAAATTAGTTTTTTAATCATGTTTCAAACGCATACTCAATAAAATATTAGTGAAATTAAATTTTTTTTTTTTATATATATATTTTATGAACAAAATGTAACTAAAAAAAAAATAACGTTTACAAACTTTAATAAATAGTCTTTAATGGTGATTGTACAATATTAATTTGTGATTTCATTACATTGCATGTTTATCATCTAAATGATATCCTTGCAAATTCAAAAAGGAATCTATTTAAAGACCCAGCCATGAGACCATTATGTTATTATGCTACATTTATACTACTTTTTTAAAAATATACATTTTTACACGATGATTCTTAGATAAAATAAAGTATTTTAAATGATTAGAAAAACAATAGAAGTATAATTTTTAAAAGCTACGTATAATCCTATAGCAAACTATGTTTTTTTTCAAAATCTTACACTGAAATTCTGATAAATAATAATTATTAAAAGTTTAGTTCGGGTCAAATGAATTATTTAGAGTTATATTAGGTTTTAGTTCATTTGCCTTTATTAAAGTTTCCTATTCGATGCAATTTGTATGCTAAGTAGTTGTGTATCAACTGTAGTAAGAACTATATTCTTTAAAAAGTTTAATAAAAAAAAATGTTTGGCCTAAGATTAAAATAAATTTTTAGTTGTGAATGTCTACCAAAATAATGTATACCTTAAATTAAAATTTTGATGTAATTCTACTGTAATTAAACTGAATTTTGTTTAAATTAAAACAGAATTAAAATTGAATTAAACAGAATAAGAAAACGACAAAAAATATTAAACGATAGTTGCGTTGAAGACAAAATGAAAATTCTAATCTTTACGGGTGTTTTAAAATGTAGCGATATGAATTTTAATATAGATAATTGATTAAAAGTAAACTATTTATACAAATGAAACAGGTTACAGGGTCATTAGTGGAATAAGTATAAAATATAATTATTAATGTTCACAATGATGAATAATGTGAAAACATGTATTTCTTTTTCCTACTTAATATAAATCTAATTCAAAAACTAAAATCACGAGAAGAAATTTTTAACACTAATATTGCTATATAATTTTAAATTATAACTTAATTATAATTAAGTTATATAGCTATTTTTATTAGCGTTCTGTAATTTTCATAAATTTTATAAAATAATTTAGATTTTTAGAAAATTATAAACACACTGTATGTTAATACCAGGAATCATGAAATGGTTGTCATAAAAAGTTAAAGAAAACATAGACTTGTTTATTGCGATATATAAATTATTTATTTAGAATTATTATTTTACTGATGTTGTTACAATTTATACTAATAACATGCTAGTTGTAGTATAAATAATAGCTAAACTGAACCATTTAGTATTTTGTATTTAATATACAAAATATAGCATAGTTTTTATATTTATCAATACACCAGAGACCAAAATATAGAGGTTAGAATTTGTTGTTTTTAAGTAATTGGAAATCTAATGGTAGTGTTTTATTGTCACGTACAAAGTAGCATTCTATTCACCATAATAGTTGAAGCGTACAAAGCTGAGTCAGTATAGCAGGAAAACTCACTTAAGGAATAACGATATAATATGTGTAAAAATAAATGTTTAAGTATTGAAATAAAATCTGTACAAAAATGTAAGTATATAAATTGCAAAGCGAACTTTTTTGGAAATGAAATCATTTTGAAATATAAATCAGAATATTTTAATTATATCGAAATATATATGCTTATTACTATCGCGATATGTACATCAGCTCACAAAATAGCATTATACTAATAAGTAAAAATATATAAAGTTTAACTAAAATTCATTAAAATATCAAAGTCATGTTGGGTTATATAGAAATATCGAATTTTATTAAATACCTTTATTGCAAATAGTAATTGTTCTTAGGATTGAGTATTCCAAGACACAATTCTTCAGTTTGAGAAATTTAAAATTTTGATAAACCAAAAAGATTAATCCAAATTATTTAAAATATTTATAAAAATGGTAGCATAATTAAAGATGAGTCTGTAAGCTCTATCATTAAAAGCCACTTAAGAAACTAGAAATTTGGTACTAAGAAATGTCTTACAGGCTGTAAAAGTTGTAAAAATGTCCAAGTTCTAAATTCTTACCTTCCAAAAAATAACGTTTGTTAGAGTAGTGATATCTAATTTAAAACTAAGTTCTTTCTTCAATTTATAAATTTTTATAGTCATCATTACTCCATTAATCGTATTGTTAAAAAATTGGTCAGTTTCTTACGTAGGAGGTGTGAAGAAGACAAATCAGAAGAGAAGAAAAAATCACCGAATGAGAATCAGTGATATTTGTGACAAAGTCAGTTTTATTTTTCATATAAAATCTGAAAAAAGTTTTAATAATACGGATCACTTTGTATATATATATATATGAAAATCCAAGAATAAATCGCATGATTTTGTACTTATCTTTAAGATTGTATTTCTATTCAATTAATAGATATTATACTAATTTCATTCAACATTGGAGAAAAAATGAATATAATATGATAAAATAAACTATTATTTGACATTTCAAAACAACCATTAATTAATTTTTTTCTAACAAAAAAATATGATGATTTAATAAAAACTTTAGGACAAGTACTTCATTAAGTTACAAGCATTTTAATATATAGAGTGGGTATGCTAGCAGAGTGCACGTACACCAATACGAGCTTCACATCTCCACTATACAACCCACTCAATATATTAAAATGCTTGTAACTCAATAAATACTTATCCTAAAGTTTTTATGAGCCCATCATAATGTATTATGATATATCAAAAAATGAGGTTTTAAAATGTCAAAAAAATAATAATTAATTTTTATTTTCTTAATTGAGATAAATAATAAAGAAATGTTTTTTAACGTATTCCAAAACTGAAAAAAATATTTAAAAAAAAATCCCAAAAAATTTATTGTATCAAAAATTATTTATAATGTCAAAATCTAGTAAGAAACTCTGTATTTCAGTAATACATGATTTTCATTAAACAAATTATTATTATTTTACTTCAGAACATTATATAGTTTGTATACATTTTTAGTCCAGTAAGCATAAATGATACGTTATAGTAGTTAATGGAGCTTATTTATTTAGATTAAGATGCCACATAATGGTTGAATTTCTGTTATATTAATAATTATAATCATAAATAAAACGATATACTTTTTAGATATTTATTCCAAATAGAAAATTCGATTATAAAAAAAATCTATTCTTAATGAAATTGCATTATAATAATTTTAGATTTTTTTTTATAATCGCGTTTTAAAAACTATTATTTGTTTCAGCATGGAGTTGGAGTAGAACTTGTAAGATTTTTACCTGAAAACCACGTGCCAACTTTTTCTAATATATTTTGTGAGCTAGGCGTTCACGAAACAATCGTAAGTTATCTTAAAAAATATTTGTTTTTTTTTCAACTCTTCAATTTATCATAATTTTTTTGTATAAAGACAATCACGTGTGACTGTGACGCTATGCCAGCCATGCAACTGAAAGCAATGCGACAAAAAGGTGATAAGGTGGATGTATCTCATTATAGAGTGAATGTTAATAAGCTACAGGCTAGAATGACTGTAATATGTGATACTCCGAGAAAAAAAGCAGAAATTAAATTTGATGGATGGCCAAAGGTAGTGTAACTATATTTATTACCAATAAAGATTGCTTTATGCTCGACTTTTAATTATGTTTTTAAATATAACAGGAAGTAAAAAAAAACTTTAAAGATTTCATTTATACTTTATCGTAATTAATATAAGTTAAAAACTTTTGAAAAGCCGAATTTGAAATATGTCCAATGTAAGATTCCGGTAGTTTTAATAAATTAATTTTGTGAATATAAGACAAAGTTTATAAATTCTAGGATAAAATTTAATTATTTAGCTCAATGAATTGTTAAGTTATAAAAACTTGAACATTTATTAAAAATAAATGAACGAAAATAAGATATCTTGTATTAATTTCTACATTCATTTGACAGTTTTGAGATATGGTAGATACCAATTTCTTATTATTTTTAAAAATTTAAATAAATTTTAGTCAAATGAAAATAATTATAAAAATATACAGAAATAATAATACGACTGCTGTTTTGATTTCAGTGTAACTTTAAAAATATATATAATAACTTCTTGCTTCGTTGTTTGTAATCACATTTTGTATAAAGTTTGCCGTTGATGTGCCATTTATAAAATAATGTATTTCACTTAACGACGCTCGAAGAAAACCAAAATTTCATTTGGTAAATGTGATTGAAACTTCTTTAATAACACGTATTTTCTTTTTTAACATTTTAGTCCCATTTTTTTTTTTTTATCAACTTCTTCGGCTCTATTTAATAAACTTTTATTGCATTTTTGCATGAATGATATTTTAAAATTATTAAACGACAACCCAGGTTGTTATCCTATCTAAGAACGACGTTCGGGTTCATATTATTATTTTATGAATTTACATTTCCCTTAGGCGATACACGCTCGTGTAGTATTTCTTGGAAAATTCAGGATTATTTCTACATTTAACAAATTGAAATTCTGTCGACCAATTAAAAACGATTACTAATAAGATTTTAACTCGGATTACATTTCCATCTTTTAGTTTCACTTTAACGACTATTTAATGCATACGACCGTGTACATGCATTATAATATTTGAGCACATTTTTTACTGTACTAAACTGAAAATTATTATTATAATAACTAATTAATCATGATATTTGTTGAACCAATAAGGGGAAAAGAGGTTTTTTTTATAGAATAATCCCTTGAATAGGACTTTTGTAGATTATCCTCGTAATTTTTATTTTGGGTTACCCAGCTAAATATATATTTATTTTTATTTATGATTGGAAATATTTAAATGAAGTCAATAAAAGCAATATTGTTATAATTTATTATTATCAACCATTTTATTTTTATCAGTTTGTTGTTTATGAGATGTATCATCCCTCAGGTAAAAATAATCTTAGCTCAAGTGGGTACTATCAAAAGCAATACATTAGATGAAGTTCAACTACAAGATGTCATAATGGATATAGTAACTGGTGCTATAAGATGTACTAATTTGTCTTTAGATATGTACCAATGGACTGACTGTCCAACTTTTAAGAAAACGCCTGAGATTCCGATATCTTCACCGTTAGATTCATATGATGATAGGACTGTAAATATCAATTTTATATAATTTTGTTTATACATACTATATTAATATTTAACGACTGAATTATTAAATTCATATTTTCACGCAAGACTGTGAGCAGATCTACTTGCAGTCAAGGAGAAAAAAGATTAATGGTTAAAGTAATCAAAGCTGTTGGAATTGGTCTTAAACAAGGTGAGCTTTATTGTGACTTACAAATTCGTTTGAATTATAGTATTTAAAACACTATAACTGGTACAAATTTAAGTTTGTTATGAGCCATACTGCGTCATAGAAGTGGATGATCCATTCCAGAAAAAGCAAACTGGTGCTAAAAAGAATACCTCATCGCCACAATGGAATGAGAATTTTATTTTGTAAGTTTAGAAAGTTTTCTTTATATAAATACTTTTTCACTACTATTGTTTTTTAAAGTACTTTAAATAAACGAACTGAAGAAATTTTATTTGAAATATACGACTGTAATTCAAACGGAGAGGTCCAGTTCATGGGTTTGGCTATAGTAAGTGTTGAAGAACTACTGGTTAATCCATGTCAAAGACAAGTGCTGTCGCTACAGTCTCGACCTTACCAAAATGATTCAGTTTCAGGAACTTTGACATTAGAAGTAAGTGTCTTAAAGTGTGTTATAGGTGACTTATAGGACAACATGGCTTATTTTTAATTTACTTATTATCAAATTTTATACTAATTAAAAGACAAAAACACATTCTTAAATATTTATATTAATTAATAACAAAAATATTTAACTGATTCTAAAGAAAAAACAGTAATTTATAATTGTATTAAAACTGTATATTTTTTTATAAATTAATTTGTAAAATTAAAACTCTTAACTCCACATTGTTATAACTAAAATTATTGTCCATATATTGTTTTATATTTTGACGGGAAATTTGTGACTATTCATTTTTTCAATATTGATGAATAATAATATATTATAAGAGAAAGTCAACTCAAGATTCTTCTTCTATGCTCTCAACCACAGTGTTTTTTTAGGTTTTACAAATATACCTTGTATTTAATTATCAAATTAAGACAATGATATAAAAATGATACCAAGTCCAAAAAAAATCACTTTGTTTGTTTTTGGGAAAAATTAGTTAGGCGGTGATCTAAAAATAATTTGGAGGGGCATTTTATTATTTCTGTTAAAATGAGATCTATTTTTCAAGAAGAAGATCTCATTTGGAGAGAACTATTGCTTCCATGTCTCCCTTCTTATATATATATATATATATATATATATATATCTAAACGTAGTAAATACATATTCTAATTATGATATTCACCTATGAACTCTCAGCTAAAATCGTAAAAATGACTGCAATTTATCAATAAAGAATTTTTTCCTAGATCTTAAAATATTTTATTTATTTTAGTTTATTTTCCTTGAAGATGAACCCCAAAAAAATTTAAGACAAACTACAGAATTTTATAATGAACGGTCTTCAATGTATAACGACCACTATGCACAAGGTAATTCATATTTTAATATTTAACCATCAATATTTAACTATTCTGATTGTTTTTTACTTATCACATATATTAAGTCAAAGAAAAATAAAAAACTTCTGATTCCTTTTTTTTTTTTAATTTTTAGAGTCGTTTGGTATATCACTGAACCGAAACCGGCCTCAATCACCTCACAATACAATAAACAGAGAAAAAAATACATCATATAATACTAACTTCCATCATAACGATTATAATGTAAGATGGCTTAAATTTAGTTAATATTAGCTATCTCATTAAGTATATATATTTATAGAATACAACAACTGATAACTATAGAAGTTCTTTAGCAGATCAAAGACAAGTAAGTGGTAATTACTATAATGGTTCTCCACAAAGTCAAGATCAGTCCAACACAGGCATAAGTGTAGAAAGAAGAGGAACAATTTATGAAAATGCCCAAGAAGGTAACTCAAATTTATTCTATATACAATTGCATAGTTCATTTTTTATTATTATAATAATAAAAACCGTGGCATCACAGACTATATATCAATTTACTTCAAAAACTTCATTACATTTATAAAACTATATACCAAATTGTTAATTTAATAAAATATTTATCCAATTCATATGAACACTATTATTGTTCATAATATTGACAATGAAAACTTACAAGTAAAAGATGGAATCTAATTTTCAATAGTTTTTTAAGTTGGTAGATTGTAGACTAGAAACAGACCAAAAAATGTAATACGTTGCTGATTGATGGTTGCCAACTAAAGATTTCTAAAATAAAAATAAACGTAATAATTTTGCCTACGCTCTTCTTTAAAGGACATCTGGACACGTGAATAAATTAAAAAATTTTATACGAAAATTCGACAATATAGACTTTATCTAATTTCATTCTAATGATAGTTTGAAACTAAGATATATTTATTATACCAATATTTTATTAAGAAACCTATGTTTAAAAATTAATAAAAAAAGAATAGTCACAACTATTAAAAGCAATATTAAACTGAGATAGATAGATTATTTATTTTAATAAGAAATAACTCTATAAAATTGCACTTTTTATTTTAATGTTTCACAGAACATACATATTTTCGGTTGATAAAATATTTAAAATGTTTTTCAAGAATCTAGTTGAATTAAATTATTGAATACATGTAAAAAAATTAGTATAGTGTTAAAATTAAAAATGCGAGTAATTCTATTAAATACTCAATACAGATTTATAATAGTGTCGATAAAATTTAATAGAAATAATACCATGACTATAGCCAATAATATCTTCATTTCACGTTGAAAATTATTACCTATCTTTATGTCTTAAATAATTGGTTATCTTATTAATTATCTGTGAAGTAAGTACTTTGTAAATACTCCTCTTGATTATAGATAATTCCTTTAGTATTTCATTACTATTATTGATAATATTTAAATTAATTTTAGCTTTGATGTGAAGATGAGAAGGTATTAATTTTAACATAATGTGTTTATTTTATATATATATGTACATTTTTTTTGTCTATCAATACTTTTCCTCAGGTTTCACAAGACAGAATATTTTCAACGATATGTTAAAAGATCATATCTGGTTAAAAGCATTACTCTTGAATATTGAAAAAAATCCCTCATATCCTGTTAATGAGGAAAATTTTACACAAATTATGATTTTTAAATTCAATAAATTTCGAAATTTTTTAATACTTTTTTTCTAAAAATTAAACACTCTACAGATTTCCATCGAAGTTTTTTTAAAGATAGAGATTTTAATCGTCGTCAAATATCATCTATACTTGTCTCAACTATATACTCATTGTACTGCGACCCCATTATACTTGTTTTTTTTATTTAAAACTGTCATAACTTATTGGAAAAAGATTGAGTTAAAATAAATTTTTAAACAAATAGGTATTTTCTCATATTTTTTTCTAAAATTTTACTTTTCACTTTCCCACAGAAGAAGAATTCAAAATAACATCTTTCGAATAAAAACTTCATTTTCAACTAACCTTTTGAAAATATTCCAGAATACTTCGAACTTAAAAATAATATAAATAATTTAAGCTAATTATAAATAAATTGCCCCAACACTTTATATTTTTTTAACGTTTTCATTTTTATTAAAAAAAAAATGTTCTCGCTACCAGTGGTTTATGGTAAATTACAATTTCAATCAAATGACTTATATAATAATTTCCTAACGTAGAACAAAATGATCGATTTAAAAAAATTAATTTACACTTTTTTTTTTGATAAATCCATATTTACATTTCTGTTACACGTTCGTAGCAAAATAATTTATTACATTATAATTTTTTATTTTTTTTTCATTGAAAATAACAATACAAAATATTGAATTTTAATATTTTACTTATAAATCATATCAGGATATAATTAAGGAATTATAAATAAATGGTGCTGTTGGAATAATCTAATAATTCCTTCTAATAATTAAACACTCTATCCACAGATTTGCATCATAGTATTTTTTATTATTGTTGTTTTAATTACTATCAGATATCATCTATAATTGTTCCAACCATTACAAGTATCAGCTATATAACGATCCCACTTTTTTGTTTTAATAAATTTCCTAGATTTTTAAATACGTCAAACCAGATCTAATAGTTTTTTCTATATTTTTTTCCATTTTATAATTAATGTTTTTAGTACTACTTAGTGTAATACGTAATAATTTTTTCGATTTATTATAAATCAATTGTATTATGCTAATAACCATAGTAATAATCTAGTATTTTATATATTTTTTTGAAAGGTTCTAGGGATACCAACGTAAATTATAAATTTATTTCAGAAAACTAGTAAGTTAAATACGAAATTTTATGTTACATACTTTTAAATAATATGAAGTTAAGTAATAGAAGTACCGTAATAGAAAAATATATCAGGGAGGTCAAAACATTTAAACATTTTTACTATTGTAACAATATACGTAATCATACTGTGATTATGTATTTTTTCAAATATTTTATTGTATTTGGTAACTTATAGTCATAGAAATACTCAAAATATAAAAAATGCTTCACATTTAGAAAATCATAGAAATGTTTAAAATTTGAAGAAGCCGTAGAAATATGTAGTTAAAAACCCAGCACAGTAGGGATGCGACATAGTTGGGTCAAGTATAATGATATCTGACAGTTATTAAAATCACTATCATAAAAAACGCTTCGATGCAAATCTGTAGATAGTATTTAATTTTAAAAAATTGGTGAATTCAAAAAAATACATCATAGTAAAACTAATATTTTCTCTGCTTCGCATCGAAGCTAAATATATATACAGGGGGCCCACCACTCACTGACAACTTAAATAACTTTTGATCCAGTTAATATTTTTAGCTGATTTTTTTTTTTAATAATAGTTACACGTTAGGTCTATAGCTATATCTCAATAATTAATTTTTTTACATTTTATTAAAAATATTAATTATTTTTAAATTTTAAATAAAATGTAAAAAAAAAATCTAAGATAGCTATTTTGTAGAGTAGAATTTAAGAAAAATTTTAGTAAAAAAATATCTTATTAATATTCAGTAGTAAATATTCTGTAGCGTTTTAAAGTTTGTGAAAATTTGAATTTTCATGTATTATTTTACGGTATTAAACATTGAAATACGTATTGAGAAAAGGACAGAAGAAAGCACTATCTTTTCGTGATTACTATAATTTGGAGGTGTGTAACTTTTTCCATAAAAATGATATACTTTTGAATGAGAGTGATAAGCAATAATTGCCTTATCAAATTTCTTATCATGGTATTAATGCCAAGGTTGTAAATTAATGTAGAAATGTGAAATTAACTTGATCTCAAAAAAATTGCGATTCAGCTGAAGATATCGAATTTTTTATCACACAATTCCATTTAATGTGAAAATTTATAATACCTATTAAATAAAATTAATTATGTTTTCACTAATGATAAAATAAGTTTTACTGAACATTATTTGTATATAGGATAATCCGTTTATAATTAACCTATTCGATTATTCACAAAATAATTAAATAAATTTCCTATCAATCAATTATTGATTCATTTTTAGCATAATCCTTCATTACACATAGGGCTATCAATTTATTTATTTTTTTAATGGTAACATACATATTTAGCTAAATAACATAATAAAAGTGATCTAATTAGGATTAACTAAAGAACTTTTAAATTTGCACTTTTGAATTTATCATGACTTTAAAATATAAACTCAGGAGAGGCGCAGGTTTGTCTACCATTAGATATTTATTCGCCGCATTTTACCTCCCATCAACTTATAAAAATGTGAATAACATTTGTTAAACGTTATTATAAATAGTTAAATATGTATATTTCCATTTAAAACAATTAAGTTGATACACCTCTAAGTTATAAGGAATGATGCTAAAAGGTAAAAAGTACCTTGATTAGTTATAGAATTTTCCAAAATAATAGGTCATTGGCAATACAAATGTATGAAATAATATTATCTATAAAAGATATCTAATAATCTATTCAGTTTTTTATGTTATTTCAATATAATGTGAAAACTAAAAATATCTATATTGTATTATAACAACTGTAATTTTCCTTTATTACTTTGATTAAAAGAAATTTTAATAAAATTATAGCTCTAATAGCTTAAACTAGATATGTTATGTGATTTATTAATGAATCGTTAAATAAAACAGTTCCACTATGACTTGTTGATTTTGGTATAGGTCACAAAAAAAAATATAGGGCACAGTAAAACTAATAGCTTCTCAGATAAATATTAAGGTTAATAATTATATTCTAAGATTTTTTATCAATGTAACAGATAATACTATTGATAATTAATTGTCATTCACAATAGACACTTCATACTACAATCGTTGAATTCTACAAGACCAAGAATGATCTTTTAATTCTCCAATCTGTTCCCGAGAAATTACTCATCGTATTTAACATTAAAAAATAGTAATTTTAAAAAAATGTTTAGCATTTTTCTTACAACAAATTTTTATGGGTTGATAGTATTTTTAGGAAATGTAATAATTGAGCTATACGCATTTTAATGCATAGAGTACGTATACTCTGCCCGTCTCCCATACCCACTTTATGTATTAAAATGCTTGTAACTCAATTAGTACTTGTAATAAAATTGTTAGTGTTCCTTGTATACCACTATTTTACGCTCTAAAAATACAGGATGTAAATAAAGTGGAATGCACTCTATTTAAACTCTGTATTTTCACTTTGGGATATATAATTTTGGTAATTTGTGAAAACTAGAATAATAGTAAAGTAATAATTAAGATATTTTTACATTGCATTTATATAAATATCTCAAATTTATTACAATATAACATTTAGAAATTACTAATATATCTTATAAAAATTTACATTCTATGTTTCTAGTACATTTATTTGATTGCATATTATATTAATACAATCACTAATTATAATCCTCTGCGTGACACACAGATCGTGGCCGAAGTAGAAAAAAGAAAAGGGACTTTTTGGGAGCTATGCGTACAAGGTTTAATAGATCAAAGTTCAGATCAAAATCTATTGATGCCAGTGATCAAGATGCATTCAGATATGGCTTGTCCCCTGGCCAGGCAAGGTCGATATCAGCCGATGGCTCTAGAAATTCCCCTACAGGTCAGTGGAATAATATCAAAAAATAATAATTTGTTGTATTTAATGATATGTGTCTGGATGGGTCACAAATGGTTTCACAATTAATTATAAGAGTAAATTGAACTAGTGTTAGAAATACAAAAGAAATATATGAAGAAGAAAAAATAAAAATTGTATGACGAAATGGATGAATTTTTAATTCATTAATTCATTTAACTCTTAATATAATAATTTTGATATTGTTTAGAATTATTTTTTTTCAATTTATAAGTAATTAATTTAATTTTATGTCCATAATTTGTCCCTCATATATTTATATATACCAATTATATATTTTTTTAAATGGCAACATACATATTTAACTAGTTAATATAATATATAACAATCCAACTATGTAAATTACTGGTTGATAACAAATATTGAACCAATATTTTAGAAGTTATTAGGATTTTCAAATTTATACTGGTGGCAAGGTGAGATGCGTATTATGTAATTTGTTTAATTATACATTACTCTGTTGCCCTAATTCTTCCAACAAGGTAAAAACCAGTTATTTTTTTTAGTTAGATTATTTTCTGTTATACATAATAGTTAATTATTTATGCTGCCATTTATAAACTTAAAATGGTGCCCTAAAGAAAAAAAAATCTGGATATAAAAATGTTTAACTACTTCATATTGTGGAATAATAATTACTCAAAAAAAGTCAAAAATAAATTCTCAAGATTATTATTTTAGAAAAAATCCAGTGGTCAATAGTAAATCAATCGCCCTATACATTCCAACTTATAGAACATCTATTAATAAATTAACCCTGAAAAAGGATATAAAAATGATAATAAAATGAAAATTTGTTTGAAATTTCTTCATCTTTTTTAGCTTTGATGCGAAGCGGGAAGGAATTAATTTTACCATATTGTGTTTATTTTTTTGTTTGTCACTACTTTTCCATAGCTCTCAGTAGACCGACTTTTCTCAACGATACACCAAACGATTACAAATCGTATCCAGCTAAAGACATTGCCCTCAAAAATTGGAAAATTTTCCCTCGTTACACGTAAATGGTGGATATCTCCCAAAAAATTACGATTTTTAAAATCAGTAAAAATATTCACTNTTTTGTTTGTCACTACTTTTCCATAGCTCTCAGTAGACCGACTTTTCTCAACGATACACCAAACGATTACAAATCGTATCCAGTTAAAGACATTGCCCTCAAAAATTGGAAAATTTTCCCTCGTTACACGTAAATGGTGGATATCTCCCAAAAAATTACGATTTTTAAAATCAGTAAAAATATTCACTATTATAATGAAATAAATTTTTATAACTATACTTGAAATTAAAGTTACTATCAATCAAATAGGTATTTGGGGGGGAAAGTTATAAAATTATTAGTTGCACGGGCGTTCTCACTTGAGGTTACGTGGGATAACTCTTCCACGATGAAAATAAATTTATGATAAAGATGTATATTTTAAGGGATAGTAAAAAATTTCTTACGTTTATATATCCCTTCCTTACATGAAACTTTAAGAACGCCACTGTATACTTAAATGAACAATTCTAAAACGTTAAGTTCAGAAATTATTTTATTTTATTTAAAATGGTTTATGTTTATTTTTAGATATGTTAGCCCCTCCCCGTGCTGGTTCAACCAGATCTAGTTTAAGTGAGATGTCTGGAGCAAGCGGTACGTCGACAGGTACTTACTTGAATGAAGCGTCCACGTTGGTACTTGAAACAATCGAAAACAACGTTAAAAAGTAATTAGCACAATGCATATGTCGTCATCTATTTTCTCGTTGGAATAAAAGAGGAAGGTTAGATAGTTAGGGTAGATTTAAGAGAGGTTAGGATACTTAATAAATAATTGGGTCAGGTACAGTGCAAAAAACGCCCATTGGCTGAAAAGAATTATTTTAAACTCTATGGCCATTACTTCTCGTTGTTGACCTCTGCTGTAAAACCATTCTATAGGGAGTGAAAAAAACACATTTCTGGCAATCCCATAAACAATGGCAGTAATTCAAAATCACACACAACATAAAATACAAATTAAATTTTAAAATAAATAATAGTAATGAACGTACGAAAATCTTTTAATTTTGCTAAAAATATACATGAAATTCTTTAAAAAAAAATATTGCCCAAGTATATACTTACTTTGTAAAATATCAGGTGTTTTTTAGTTGGTCAGCTTTTTATTTTTAAGAGAAAAAAAATGAATTTCTCGTATTCCCTGGGGCGTAAGTAGCAAATGTCTTTATCGCGTCGCCTTGTAGAGAACTATTTTCGAGTCCTAAGGCGTTTTCAACACTTTGTTTTAAGAGAAAATATCAGGAAAATTTAACTTAGTTCTAGAAAAAATACCTTTATAATAATGTCGTTTTAATAAAAGCTTTAGTGAATCGTTTTTCTTATTTTTTTCCCAAACAGATACAAATGATTTCTAACGGCTAATCAAAGCCATTGCCAGACACATATCCTATTCGACAGAACTGTTATTTACCGTTATTCGTTTTTTCACGGGACAAACAAACAGTTGATAATATCAAATGTCGACGATTCTTAACACACAAATTTGGAGACGTACGGGAGATATTTATAGTTTTACCTTTATCGTTTCGTGTGAACCAACCATTAATAACAGGACAGTTAAAGTCGTAAAAGTGATAATACTGTTTTTTCTTTTAAACCTAATGATTTTGAAATCGTAGATATATAAACATTCCTATTTTATTCTTAAAAAGTTCTAAGAAATTTGTCGGTACATCAAAAAGTTTTCAATTGAGGATTATTAGAGATGATATCAGAAGAATGATAACGATATTTTTACTTGGTCTTATATCTGCTTTAGTAAGAATACCGAAAGAAAGTGTCGATATTTACTCTATCTATTAATATTATTTATTTTTTCATTTAACCTTATCGAATTGAACTCTATTTTCCTCTTGTATGGCATATATTGGCTAGAAAAAGAAAATGTACCATTGAGCTAACTATTTTCCGCAGATTCATACGATTCATTATAAATTAAAACAATAATAATTCAGTGATAAAAAAAAACAAAAAGAATTTTTGTTTTAATTTAAAAAAAATGTAAAATATATAGCACGACATAATGTAATTGTCAATCGGTAAGTCATCTCAAAAAAATAAAATTTTAAATATCTAAAAATAAAAATTGCAGAATAATTATTTAGTAAATTATGTTTATGCAAATTAGTAGTAAATGTAATTCAATAACTTCTTAAATTTAAGCTATTAATAAAAATTATTTTTGACAACAATCTGATTGAGTATGAGATAATATCAGATATCATATTTAATGATTATACCGTTACATTATTTCCGTATCTATAATTTCTTTTTACTTTTATACGTATAAATGATGTTTCGGTACGTTACCAACTCTTATTTTTTAATACTAGTAAAATATGGAATATCAATATCGATACCAAAAATTACTCAAAGTCAAAAAAAGTATCGATACTTTACTCATATCGGTAGTATCACAAAGTCTTTAGTCTAATTATCTAGTGATAATTAAGATTCATTTGCATATTAAGTCTTTATATTTTATACACCAAAGTGAACAAATGTTAAGATTTAAAAGTTTCAGTTCACGAAATCGGAGTCTCTCATATCAGTTTGCCGACTAGAATTTTACCAATAAATCCGCTGCTGACGGAAGTAATAATGTTTAGTCTTAACTCAGAGTATATGTCAGACTAACAATAGTCGATATTTATTAAGATAGTTCAAGTTTAGTTAAAGTTTAGAACTAAGTTTCTTGTTGTATATTATGATGTTTCAATATATATATTTACGCAAGAGAGGATATAATCCAAATATTTTTATGAAATAATCATATGTGAATTTTTATAGACATTATTTAGTACCATTTACGTTGGCTTCCAAGAGGAAGTGGAAGAGAGCTGGCGTTAAGTTACATATATTCAACGAACATACTTTTGTCGCCAAACATTTGTCCAGGTAAAAATAACTTAATAAGTTACTGTAAATTACCTAAATGTATTTTGACAATCTAACAAAAAAAAAAAAAAATGCTAGTAAATATACTTTTACACNGACAATCTAAAAAAAAAAAAAAAAAATGCTAGTAAATATACTTTTACACTTTTCTACAACAAATCGAAAATACTACGTGTAAAACTAAATTTAAGCCGTAGTAACTATTTCCATCTAAAAATAATATAAAGTGTGTGGGTACTAAACTACATAGACAAGAGCAGTGTTGTTTCAACAGATTTAATAAACTAAAATAAATACAATTAAAACAGTGTAGGGTGTATTAATATTGGTATATTATATATATATGTATTTATATATATATATATATAATATTGAAAACACGCGCAAGGCTCAATAATAAATATTTTCCGTAGCATAATTCCAAAAATTCTTATACGATTATAATTATTTGAAAAAACTTAGCCTTGGACGTTTTACATTAAATCGTTTTCATAAAACTTTATGATCTAACAGTGTAATACTATGAATTATACAATAGTATTAACGATTATAGATTACAATAACGAGTACATTACAAATTTAATACGAAATATTATAGTTTATTTTTTTACAAATAAAAATAAAGCCTTTTACAAAATTACCGTAACAATAAAAACAATCAATAATCAGGAATCGCATGCATACCACTGGCCTATCGAGACTTGACTGTAGTGTAATACTTGAAAAATATTAAAATCATCATTATTTTTTGATAGTAATACCAATCTCTTATGTTTTACACTTTGTCAGTTACTCAGCTGATATTGGACGGGTATATGTAAAAAGGATTTTAAAGTAACTTAAATTTGAACGAGAAATTCCACGGATAAAAAACGTGACTAAGCTTTTAATAATTATTTCAAACAGACATCTGACGGGAACTCGATAGTAGAGAACCAATTTATTTGATTGAGTGACAGAGAAAAGTAAACACTCTTTATTATATTCCGCGAAAAAAAGTGATGACTAAAATCTAAATTTGTATCGAATTTTTCACCTAACTAATCAGTACACACGTTTTTAGTTGATAGAAAAAATTAATTTTATAATTATTAAAATAATACGTATTGTAAAATTTAAACATGAACGTTTGGCCCCGTATTTTATTCATTAATGTATCATACAATTATGTATATTATAAATAATTACCTTTAGTTAAAAATTAAGTTTTGTTAATTATGAACACAGTCGGTTAGCGTGTTTGGTGTGTGCCAAATACTTCCCCCGAAGAATCGGTAAACAAGGATACGAATGTCGAGACTGTTTGATCAAGTGCCACAAAGAGTGTCATGTAAAAATTCCTAACCAATGCACAAATTCCAGAGTTCAAAACATAGATTTGTAAGTTCTCTGTTTATTCTAGTTTGCAAATTTAAACTAACTTATATAAGGTTTTGTTTGTCCACTGTAATTTTTTTTGATGTTTAACAAATTAATTTAAATTATTATTTTACCAAATCTTTTTTATTCAGTAATAATTAAACACGAAAAAAACATATAATTATAAAATTGATAGAATTTCACATTCGCATCACAAGTTCAAAATTAATTTCAAAAATGAGTTACAGTGCCGTTGTTTGCTAAAAAAAAAAAATAAACTATTGCACGATTTTTAATGGTGATGGTTAAATTGTCTGCCATGTTAACTATGTAATTTTTGATAATTCTATATATACTTTGGCTTTTTAGGAATAATTTAACAGTGTTGTCGTCAATGTAAACTTAATAACATGACCTGGATAAATTACATGGAAAAGAATTTTGCAAGGACGATGAATGATAACTGATTTATGTAACATAAGAAGAAAAGGAGTTTGGTATATGTTTCTCGTTTAAAAAACAGCTAACAATCATCGTGTGTAAAAAATTAAAAAATAAAATATCTTCAATATTTATTTAATAGATACGTTGTATGTACTATTAATGTGCCTTAAGCATGTGTGTAAAAAAAAATAATAATAAAAGTTTATTTTCACTTTTTATTGTAATCATTTTATATCCCTATACGTCTTTTGAAAAGCATTGCAGAAATATTAAATAAATATCAACACGTGTATTCTTTATAGGACTAATGGTTTAACAAAGTAAATAAATTACTATATAATGTCGTGTAAGTGTATGCATGGATAGCGATTAATAATTAGCTAACAAAAACAAAACGCTATTTATTAATTAAATATACTTAACAAAATGTAAAATTAAAATGAACATATAAATTCTTGAAATCACTTACCCATTACAAGTTTAAATACTAAATGTTCTTGGTGCTTCAACATACATGCTTAACTTATGTCAAAGAATTAAAATTAAACTATAAATTAATAGCAAAAATGTAACAACGCTAAGATATACACTGTATTTTTTCATTCGACTTAAAATATATTATAATTAACATGTTAGACTAAACAAATTTTAATACATCATTTAATATTTTAACCAAATATATAATGTTTTATATTATGTAAATAAATTTAATATCGAAAACAAGTATTTCCTCATATTTTAATATCTAACTTATTTTTAAAATAACTTAGTTTAACGTAATCACTCAATTCACGATAACATTTTATAAAATATTATTTTAAATATTTTACTATAGTAAATAATATATATTTATATAATTGAATTGTTTCATTTCTGGTTATCATTATATTTATAGATAATTTTTACGTTAATTTAATAAAATACATATAAATATAATATGCTTATAAATTATTTATATTGTATTGGGTATAATTAATAATTGTTTCAATGAACAATATTAAAATTAATACACCCACCCCCTTCGGATCATTCAGGTTTTAACCGATGCCAATACTCGACGTTTTGTTTGGGTTTGCTTAACATATCCTTCCAGTGTTGTGCTTCTAACTGTCCAGTTGCATTTTTATTAGCTGACAAAAAAATCCATAAGATTATTTGACTTTTAATACAACAAATAAATCCATATGACATCACAACAATCAGATATTTTAAACGTTAAATTAAACAATTTTTTAAATTATCAGATTTGTTAGTTTATCCTTAATATTTAGGTATAAAATTATGATATCAAAAGTCGTTCCGACGATTCATTATTTAAGGTAAATAGTTATTTTGATAAGATCTTGTTATTTTAAAAGTTGTATATCTAAAGAAAATAACAAAATAATGGTTTGGATAAAGAAAACGCGAAAGTTCCTTTCTCTTAGCATCATTAAATATAAGCAGCATTGAATTCTGACAAGCATTGTGGGACATTGATGGATTATGTTCAAATAGCAACTAATCTACTACGACGCTCAGTAATATTCATATATTAAATTTCTCCTTAGAAGTAAAAAATAATATTTTGTATAATTAAAAGTAAATTTAATCTGGACTTCAAAATTAATTATGTATCCAAAAATTAAAATTAATATTCAAATTTCAAAGATTTGTAATAATATATAACTTATATTTTTTCTAGAAATAAAACTTATTATTTACCTATTAAAAAAAAAAAAATCAAAATTGCTAAGATAACTTTGTGTCCAAAACTAGTTATCTTCTATCGGAATTGGTGAGTAAAATCATAATATATATTTTAATTTATTAGTACATCATTGGAGTTGGAAATAGAGTCAGTAAATATTTGATCAAAAAATATAAAATTGACATTTTTTTAAGAAAATTAGCGCTAAAATTTAACATTTTAGAAGACATTTAATATTATATTTCAAAACTTAAATTGAAATATATTTATAGGCCAGATGATCGAGTGATGCCAAAGAAAAATAAAAAGTTTTAATTTACTAAAAATCGAAGAATTTTCAAATGTAACATTTAAATATCCCTAATTATTGTACAACTCTTAATAAATAACTGTAAACTGGTATAACAAATTATATTATTAAGAGTTATTTATGAGTATTTTTCCTTATAAAGGGCTGATCTGGTCGAGTCGGCAGTACGAAGCGGTGCCCAATGCGCACTGTCTACGTTTCGAGACTAATTCACAGGCGGCTCCGTTTTCTGAACGAGAGATCAATTCATTTATTAAAGTCCCTATCTGTCTCTCTGGCGACGGACTCACTACCCCTCTCGGAGTATCCATGATTAAGAAACTTCCTCCTAGGAAAAGGCTGCAATATCCCCCAATGGGTCGTAAAAGCGAAAAAAATAGTTTCGTTATTTCAAACAATAAATAATTGAAAAAACAAACAAAAAATCAGTTTATTATAAGATAAACAACTTACATGATATTGTGATTTTACCAATGAGCTCGTTTCGGCCTATGTTATCAAAATCCATTACCATTACTTCTAGTGCAGCTTCTCTGAGTTGCTCCACAGGCAACGTGTATTCAAATTTTTCATCGAATACTGGATTCAAATTACACTTGTATACGACGCTCTTACGTTTTTCTACTTTTTTATCACCGATGTGCAACCAAACTTTCACATACGGATCTATAAATTGAAAAGAAATGATAAAATATATGGTTATTATATAATATTATACGAAAAGTCATCTCAAGTCGTCAATGATTGAAATAGCAACATTACATATAAAGAAAAAAACATGAAAATTTAAAAATCAATAATTTTATCGAATTAATTAGAAAAATTGAAACATATAAACATATTGTATGAACCACTTATTTCAAATGAGTTTTTAAATATTATTTCCTAAAATAATTATTTTTTAAATGACTTCCCAATATCAATTCCATATTTAATGCTTTATAATTTTGATTTTTTATCGTGAAAGTAATAATAATAATTTCATTATAATCATAGGAAATAAACTTATACTTTTACTAAGTCTATTATAAAAATGGCAGAAATTATTATATAAGACAATGACTAAATAAAATTACTTAAAAATTAAAAAATAATTATAAATTTAAGCTTGGTAAAACAATATTCTGAATTTTTGTAAAGTTATTCAAATTTAAATGGATAGTTTTTATGAGACAGTGAACAATTATAAGGATAACTTTGGTTTTAGATAAATATGTGAAATAATTTTACCCGATGGCAATTATGGCCTATGAAACAAAAGTTTTATTTATAAATGAATTATATATGTGAAATAATTAATTTTAATAAAAAAATTCTTAAGATTGAATTTTTTTTTTTTTTTGTAAGAGATGAGTTGAACATAAAACTATATTTTATTTGCGTTGAAATATTTTATTTAGAACCAATTTTTATCAAAAAAAGTACATTGAATACTTTTCTGAGTTATCAAATATTTTTTATTACGGACAACTTAAACGTAACCAATTTGGAGTCCATTTGTAGTGAAGGTAAGCTTAAGTACATAGTGCCTGAAGAATATATCAAATACCTCAGTAACGATTAGTAACACGATCAAGTTCGCAAAATAAAATTTGACGATGGGCTTCCATATAAGTTAGGCTTACATATCAGAAAGCTGTACATAATACAAAATGTCAAACATTGTCACTAATTCCAAAGTAAACTAAGGTTGGAACAGTACCTATACGCAATACCAGCATTTAGATAAATATTTATTTAATTTTTGTAGACGAAATTTTAATGATTTTTGCTATCCATTCTCAATGATAATTTGAACCCGAACCATAACTTTGTATCGAAATTATTCAGGACTTTTATACAGACAATATTCAGCCCATTACTGTTTTAGTAGCCGAATGTGGTGTTGATATAACGTGAGGCCATATCAACTGTAACGAATTAAGTGTGAAAATAGAAACATAAATAAGTGATATTTTTGTAAACTGATGTTGTTTCGATCATTAACTTTTTAGGGCGTATATTGTCGACTTGAATAATACTCGTTCTGTACGATAATTTGCCAACCATATAACAAAAACATTGATTTCAATTATATTTTTTTAATTTACCCGCATAAGAAGCTTAATTTATGTATAAGAAATTACTTTTATTTATTGATTGTTTTATACATTTTTCCACTTGGTACAGATAAAAATTTCAAGTAACATTTTGTAATAAGACTGACGCATTTGAAATTTTCATAAAGTGAAAACTCTAATGGCAAAAGTGTTTACTATTTTCAGATCATGGAATAAATTTCTATCAAACTGTTAATTATTAAATAACAAATATGATTTCAGAATTTGTAAATAAAAAGTTTTTGCAAAGACTAAAAATCAATTATAATAAACTCAACTACGAATTGAACATCATTGAGAGTTTACAAGTGTTCATTGAAATTTCATCTAAATATAAATATAAAAATAGGTGCGTTTTTAACACATTTTCACTTTTAATTTGCCCAGTTTAGAGAAATTATTTGACGATCGCAATAACAGACATTAACGTTATTCCTTTTTTTTAAATATCTAAATATAAGTAAATTTATTTAGATATTGATTTAATCGGATATTTAAATATTACTGATTATAGGTTGTAAAGAAAGATAACTTATCTTAATAAATCACTGTGATTATTAATATTATTAACAGAATATTAGCATATTTATATAAATACATTATAAGGTTGTATTAAAAATTATTAAATTATTATTTTTTACTTTGCACTAGCTATTCATTTAACTTTTTATTTTTGCCTAACCTAAAAACATATCCATGTTATGACAGTAGAACAAAAGAACCTATATCGTACATAAAAAAAGATTACATTCATTAATTTTTAATTGAATTTATGATAAAGATACATACGTTAAAATAAATGTGTTGCAAATCATTATCATATTGAATGCAAGATAAAAATATCATATAAATAAATTAAATTGGTTTATAGTTTGTTTGGTTTTTGTAATAAAACTTTCATTAAGTTCATTACAAATCACAAAGGAAATAACTGCTATTATAAATATTTGCTGCAAAACTATGATAAACCAAATAACAATCAAATTTATTAATTAAAAAAAATTAATTTTAAAGTCTGAAAAAAAATTCACGAATTAAAATTAAAATGATTCTAAAGTATTAAAAAAATCACCAAATGAAAAAATGATAATGTGTAACTTTTAAAAAGGATTGAGTGGACAAATTGAATGTTTGGTATCATACCAAAAAAGGAGCTTATAATGTTTTCTTATGCAAGTTGTATTTTTGTCACGTTGGCAAAAAGCGTTAGAATTATTAATAGTAAATTATCAAAGTTTGTTTTATATACTATTACTATTATACTGCTTGCAAGTCAGCATATAAAAGTGTTAAATGGAAAAACGTTGAACATTTTTGGTAAGCTGAAATTTGTAAGTTGTAAGTCATAGTAGTCATAAATCTGTTTTATACGACCACCTAATATATTATTATTGTCTAGTGTAACGAAAATAGTACTAAAAAACTAGATAGTTTAAACATAACTATCTCTGTTTAACAAAAAATATAGGCACACATTCATAAAGTATGAAGTTATCTAGAAAGTGTTAAAAGGGAAAGCTTGCGCTTCAGTAGCTTAAAGCGCTGTTAAAAACACTAGTAAATTGAAATATTTAACAAACAAAAACCATAGTAAAATTATTGTTGTCTAATATTTTTTTTTATACATATATCCTAACAATACACATATATAATTAAATTATAATACGTTCTTAAGTCTCCGTTTTTTTATTTAACAACAAAGTATTCAAACATTTTTTTTAATAAACAAAGCAGTTTATTGTTTTAAGCGTTAAATCATTCAACGTAAATTAATTTTGTATTACTTCAAATTAAGTTTTAATTTTTTTAAGTGTAAATAAGTTATTAATTATTTTCAAGTTTCAAAAAAGTTATGAAGAATAAATTTAATTTTACTGAGACCATTAGGGAATTGTATTTTCGAATTGATTATCTTTAAAATACTAAGACTTGAACTTTGAGTTGAATATTTGTTAGTTTCCAAGAAATTTGATTGTAATTGACATTAACCATCACAATCATGTTGACAGGTAAAATAGGATTGGAATGCAATGTTGGCGAATTTAATTTACCTCAGAAATCCAAACACATGACTTTACGCCTACTTTTATAGCAATTTAAATTTTTAACGGCTCCTATTCAATAATTTAATATCATACGTGCAAACATAATTTTATGATTAATAAATACATTAATTTAATATTAATATACACAAATAGTTATATAAAAAAAAACTGACTTGATTTTTAGACAAATATTTATATTTTTTTAATATCGAATAATTCAAATAAATAATAAAACGAATTTAAATAATATTTACATATAAATAACCAAATTACGAGTGCTAATAATATTATGAAATTACAATCCCGTATAGCTAATATATTAATATATAATATATTAAAACAAAATTAATTATCATAACCAACTATTTCTTCTATATAGATCGCTATTAAATCATTTATAAAATATTATTATTATTCTTTAAATTCATTGTTTTAAATTATACTTATTGTATTAAAATAGAATATAAGTTTAGACTTCTGTAAAACATTATTGAGTCTTGAAAAGTTGCTTGTTATTTACCTAGAATTTTTTTAGCATATAAAACTGATACCTTATACATTATATAATTGCATGTTTACTTTAGGCACTAACTAATTCAACAACATTCATCAACACGTTAATTTAACCGCACTGTAAGTAAACTTAGGTTTTTTCGATGAGTTTCATGAAGTTATTTTTTTTAACACAACGTTTAAATGTGTGTCATCATAAAAAAATATAGACAATGGAGTTAAACTATAAAAAAGAAAGCGGAAATAATGGAGTATTTATAAATATTTAAAATTTGGAAAATGGATGACTGATCTAAAAGTTCACCTTACATAATATAATGGACCAAGAAATTTTTTATATTAGATAAAAACTACTTAGACGATTGCACCAGTTGGGGCGTCATAATAATCTTTTTTAGCCTTTTTCGTGTCATTATATGAAATTGGATTATATCGTAGTAAAAGTAAAGCTAAAAATATATACATAATACGCTTTTGTATATAAACATTCAATGAGTTACAAAGCTTATGAGAACCCACACAAGCAAATAATCTCTCCTTAAGCACCATCACTTAAGATACAAAACAAAACAGAGATAAATTATTTCTTCGAAATTTCCTTTAACAGCAACTATTTGGTAAGATATTAGGTAATTCCATCTTCTCCTTTTCGCCAAAAACATACCGATACTGCTTGTATCATTTGTCTTACGGCAGAATACTTATGTCGATTGCTGAAATATATTGAAACTGCTGATAGTGTGAATGTGGGTGTATACTACACGAATCAGGTAAGAAATATTTTATCGAATAAGCCCAACATAGGGATAGGAAAGCGAAACACGTTGTATAGTTTAGAAAATGAACAAAACTTTTCTCTCATTTTATTGTTTATAGAACGTACGAACTAGAAAAGGATCAACAAAATAAACATGATTGATAAAATCATACAGTACACTATGTTGTAACTTAGTGAGTACCAAAATAATACAATAATACATATCTATTTTCGAATAACACTATCTGTTCGACGCACATCTACTAAAGGTCATTTTGTAATATTTTTTATATTAACTTCCCACATCCAGTTCTAAAATATAAAATATAGGCAACTTGTCCGCCTCTCGTCCCTACGCCCGGACAACACATTACACATGCGATTGTTTATGACATCAAGTTCCTGTTGGTCTTTATATCTGCGTCGTTGCCGCCATTTTAGGCTTTTTTGTTATACAGTTCTATGGTGCTTACGAGTACAGTTGTTTTAGTCAAAAGTTGACAAATCGCTTTTGCGATTTTCGCACCCTTGTGCGTTCTTAATGTATAGCGCTTATTGTTTGAGTCTTGATGTACATCGAAGTACCGTTCATGGCATATTACTAATTCAACTTGATAAGGCAACCTCATTGGACTTAAATCTTACCTTGTGCCATACAATATCGTCATAGCCGTGAGTACTATTCTTGTTTTTGTTTATAATTTTATATCTATTTACATTTATGGTTTGTTTGAGCCATTGTGTCTTAAGTTTTAAGTTCCTTCTACCATAATTCTATACTATTTTAACTGTATTTTTTAATAAATATGTTATTGTTTTATATGCTTCAAGCTGATTTTTCTATTAATTATTCTACTATTTCGTTTGCGTTTATACACATCAAAGTTAGTTCAAGTAATATAACTTTATAAATAATATAATTGTGCAGGAAGAGTGGAGTAAAAGAGGAAGACTCATTTTACATTATGTGCGAATGTGAAGCCTTTTCCACCCTAAGATCAAACTACTCGAGTAAACCTTTTTCTGAAAAAGAAGATATTAAAAACCTAAGACCCAGAGAGATACTTAATTTCACTGGAAAGACAGGACTCTTTGGTCATCCATAGGGGTGACTTGATGGTCCACCCTTAAACAATGAGAAGTATAATGCAATTACNAAGAAGATATTAAAAACCTAAGACCCAGAGAGATACTTAATTTCACTGGAAAGACAGGACTCTTTGGTCATCCATAGGGGTGATTTGATGGTCCACCCTTAAACAATGAGAAGTATAATGCAATTACACTTCGGTGATAACACTTAGGTGGGTAAACCGAATCAAGACAATTCGGTATGAGGTGCGCACAATGGACCAACAGGTCTGAGTGCATGGACATTATGACCACCTCAACAAAAACTAAAACTATATATGCATGTATCAGCGTGTATTTCAATAAAACTATTCAATGTTACCTTTAAATAATATACACATGAGCACCCCTTGCACATAAATATAGAAATTAAAATATTTTGTATGAATTACTAAGCAATAATTGTTTAGTATACTGGACAATTATTGCTAAAAGATTCGTTAAAATGTCCCAAATATCCTCACAATAAATAAATATAATGCTAAACAACAATATATCATATCAATTTGAGTTCAGATTTATGTTAATAAAATCTGTCCGTCAAATAAAAAAAATATATAAAAGTTGAATAAATTATATTCATTTAATATGCATCAAAGTATTTAACGATAATGAGTTCATAATACTTAAAAGAGTTCAGCGTAAATTTTACGTTTTTCTGCATTTAACCTCAAAATACCTCCTGACATATCCTCAATTTAACCATGCAACTCTTTTCCCTGTCTAATCCAAAATATGAAGCAGAATATCATTTTTATTCTAGAATTATATATTGAAATAGATTCCCCTATTTTACTCTAGAAGATAAGTTCACATGCTTGACATACTACAAATTACTTTCTTTATTGCTCCCTTTTACATCTAATGCGCATTGCAAATAGTACTCCTTTATTTTCATTTCAATTGCTCTTTATAAATTGTCAATTTTTAGTATGTAAGGTCACGTATAGCTCATTTTCAATTGTTCAGTGGGTTTAATGTATCTCTTACAAGGTAAATGTTTTGTGCATAAATATTAAATTTTTCTGTTAATATTTAGATATAATAAGTATATTTTTGTGTTTTTATTTTTACTGTTTTATTATTTTTATCTGCTGTTTGTGTTAAATCTTTTTTAATTGTTAAACTTGTCATAAATTTTTATTTTAGATTAACGCCCTTATTGTGTATAAAATAAAATAAAATAATGATTTTAATCTCATTTAAAAATTATTACACAATGGTGTCATCTGTATCTGGTTTTAGCTGTACTTGGTTTTAAATTATTGTGAGTTTTATGGATTAGATTCATTTTTTCATGATAGTTTAACTACTATAAACTGAATTATTGTGTTAAAACTTCAACAGCAATTAACTGACAAAGAATTATTTGTTTGTAAAAATTAGTATTAAAATAAATTGTAATACCTCAAGTAATAACATAAGTTCTGTAATAATATAAAATAAATTAACATTTAATTATCACATACGTGTTAAAAAATATCGTTAAATCTTAACTTTATAAATATCATAATTGATAAAAAAAAATGAAAACCTATTTGGGATATTTAGAAAGCAGAGGAAATTACCTATTAAAATATTTTTAAATCAAAAATAAAATCGTTAAATCATGATCTACTTTCACAGAATTTATAGTTTGAAATCATAAAAATGTTTTTAGCATTGACCAAAAACAATTTAAATCCTATACAGAAGTTTTGTAGTAAAGGTCAGTAATACAAATTAAAAAAGTTTGTAGAACGCAGGGATGTACTTTATTTGTAATACAGTTATCACTTATTTGAACACAAGCCAGATGGAGTTTTCGGGAATGAAAAAAGTATAGATTAATATATGATTCGAATACGTTTTCTATAAAAATAGCTCTACTAGGTTAAAATTAAAATCAAACTAAATAAATCGGTTCAAATATTTACTTTTTACTTATTCTATTCATCTAGAAATTATCGATCAATAAAACATTACCTATTTGTTTTTCAACTATATTGTAATTATAGTTCATTAATCGACTTGATTAATTCTAATTATATAATATTATATATAATGTAAAAAAGATTTCGGGGAAAAATTATTTATCTTAAGAAATATTATACCTATTTAATATTCACGTTCATGTTAATTTTATATAATCTAGAATAAAACTATAAAATAATTTTTGAAAGTAAAAAGAAAATATTTTCAGACTTAATATATTTTTTCTTTATGATAACTTTGGATTATTTTCAAAAAAAAGGCCAACTTAATGAAGTGGATAATTTTTTAAAGTAACTCATCAGAAATATGAGTTTTTTTATTATATTTAAATTAATGTGTTCTTTAATTAAAACTTCTTTCAAGTACTCATATAATTCTCTGGTATGATTTAATTTTATATCTAATTACCTTTTGAGTAGAGCTATGGAACTATTGAATATTTTAAAAAGGAAAAATATCTTTATAAGATCTAGAAATTGCTCTTATGGCAAATGAAATGTTAGTTGTATTTTAGTTTGGCAGTAATATAAGTTTAAAAACTTTTGTTTTTAATTTGTATTATTTGTATATTTAATTTATATTAACTCATTTGTTATTTGTGTATAATATAGATTTTTTAATGCACAGTAAATTTTCTTAAGTTTGTAGAGATAATTTTATATTTAATTAAAAAGATGCGAGGTTTTGAAATAATTAAAATAATTGTTTTATTAAGCAAATTTTTTTCAATTGCTAGGTAATATAGTATCAAAATGATTAAAATAATAAACAAATAGAAATGAAATTTTAAAGATTATAATTATAATATAATAGCTAAATTTATATAAATATATGTATATTTAAAAACAATTATTAACATTATAAGAAAAGTTCAACTCTAATATTTCATAATCTGCACTTTTAATTAAAAGCAATAAGTTGCTCATTTAACAAAGTGCACGATAAAAGAAAATGTATAATAATTCTAAAATGTGAATAAAGGAGAAAATATTGTTTTGAATTACAACTGACATTATAAACACCGAGTTCATTATTATTTTTGGGTAATAATCAAAATGGAAATGGTATTTTAAATGCTTACCTGATTTTCCATTAATGTCCATAGCTTTCAGGTTTCTTGCTTCGATAATTCCAAGTGTTAGGTTGTTAGTCATTGGATTGTATGATAGTGATGTAAGTAAATGTCCGCACTTATCCTTCAACGGAGCGGTTAAATCTTTCCAAAACACCGGTTTGGCCGTAAAATCAACCTGCATATGATCATACATTTACTGTTTTAGATTTATCATTAAAACTTCTAGTAGTTAAAAAAAATTTCCGTCAGGTGATTTACTAAGATTAGGTACTCATCCATTAAATTGACACAACTTTTTAATAGTTATTTTTTATATTTTTTTAGTTTCAAATTAATGTTTTAAATATACTTCTAATTTTAAATGTTCTGTGAAGGTGAAATAAATCATGATTTGTCTTTGCTTCTCTTAATATTATATTATTTTGTGTTATTTTCGTGAACTTAAGACGAATATTTTTAATGCATAGCTTTTTGGAAGTTATTTTCTCAAAACAATTGTGATTATAAAGACGTAAACGTAAACAAAAACAGCTCCCGACGTATCACATAGACATCCGAATACACATCTTTCTTACTAAAGTTTAAATCTAGATTAAGATTTAATGTTAAAATTATTAATGTATTTGCTCTCTTAATTATTCACAAATCTAGAGAGCACGAGACTCTTAATCTCGGGGTCGTGGGTTCGAGCTCCACGTTGGGCGCCAGTTAACACAGCCGTCGAGAATTGACGGCTGGTCATAAAAAGTGTGATGGATATCGTGTAAAATAAAAAGCATTGTACGCGATTAGATTGCGCGACCCAAAACATAGCAGCGACAAATCTTATCACTAAGATACCGAAGACTTATGATTCAGAGTCCGATACACGTTCATATAGGTTGATAATATGACGTGATAATAAGGGAAACAAGGTACCGTATCAATTATCTTAATTATATGTGTAAGTAAATAGAAATAGAAATTCCAAAATTAAATTATATGAAAAAAAGAAAATGTTTGATCATCGAATTAGAGTTTCAATGTTTTTCACTTTTTTTCATAAATTATTATTTTAAAAAATTCTAAAAATTTTATCTGTGATATTATAAGATATGATAAGTTACTAATGCGTTATTGAGATTTTAAAAAATTTATCGAGGTTTATTTGCTTTACAGTAATTGGTACCATTAACCCTCTCTTTTGTGACAGACTAACCAGTAATCCCGTGGTATTAATTAAAAAAACCCACAATGGAGACACCTAAACGACTCTTAATGGACCAAAAAAGAAAAAAATATCATTATGATAAATAATCCAGTGCTCATAATAATTGATCATAAAACGAATCGATGCGATTGTATATAAAGAATGACTATAAAAAAAAATTCTAAAACTGTAATGTAAACTTCATAATACTTTTGATTTGGCCACCGATTACTCACAGAAGAAAAATTGTCAGACAGTTTTTCATTATTTAATATTAAAGAAAATTTTATAAGCTTTAAATTTTTTAATAAAAAACTGTGTACGTATGTTACTGTTATTTAAATAGTTTATGTACTCGGAGTTTTAATTACATTTTTATAAAATTCATTTTAAAAACAACATAATAGTCTTTAACATAACTAATAAAATTTACATTGAGATTTGTAAATTTTCAAAAAAGTTATAACAAAATGAATAATATATTAAAATATTAACGGAAATTTCGCATTTTTTACTATATCGGCCAAATATCTATAAAAGAAAAATCAGAACATTTTTTCTATTAATCTTGAAACACATCACCGAACGGTTTTGTGCATTGTTATTTATTATTTTTGTTTTTTCACTGATTGTAGAATATTAAAAAAAAAAAAAAAAAATTGGATTCCAATAAAATTATTTAGAACTCACTTATACAGGGTGGCCCACTACTCACTGACAACTTAAATAACTTTTGATCCAGTTAATATTTTTAGTTGATTCTTTTTTTAAATAATAGTTATACGTTAGGTCTATAGCAATATCTCAATATTTAATTTTTTTACATTTTATTAAAAATATTAATTATTTTTAAATTTTAAATAAAATGTAAAAAAAAAATCTAAGATAGCTATTTTGTAGAGTAGAATTTAAGAAAAATTTTAGTAAAAAAATATCTTATTAATATTCAGTAGTAAATATTCTGTAGCGTTTTGAAGTTTGTGAAAATTTGAATTTTCATGTACTATTTTACGGTATTAAACATTGAAATACGTATTGAGAAAAGGACAGAAGAAAACGCTATCTTTTCATGATTACTGTGTATACATATGATGATAGTGTGTATACATTACAAACTTGGCATAAATACCATGATAAGAAATTAGATAAGGCAATTATTACTTATCACTCTCATTCAAAAGTATATTGAAAAGATAGCGTTTTCTTCTGTCCTTTTCTCAATACGTATTTCAATGTTTAATACCGTAAAATAGTACATGAAAATTCAAATTTTCACAAACTTCAAAACGCTACAGAATATTTACTACTGAATATTAATAAGATATTTTTTTACTAAAATTTTTCTTAAATTCTACTCTACAAAATAGCTATCTTAGATTTTTTTTTTACATTTTATTTAAAATTTAAAAATAATTAATATTTTTAATAAAATGTAAAAAAATTAAATATTGAGATATTGCTATAGACCTAACGTCTAACTAATATTTAAAAAAAAAATCAGCTAAAAATATTAACTGGATCAAAAGTTATTTAAGTTGTCAGTGAGTGGTGGGCCACCCTGTATATTAGAAAAAATAATAACAATATTGTAGCATCCTTATTAGTCATAAACAACTTAATGTATATTCAAACATTCACCGAAAAAAATTGAACATTTTTTTGTTTATAAAATAATCTTAAAAACTTTTTTATACTCATATTAATAGTGTTTAAAGAAAAGCTAATGGACATGCATTTAAGGAGAAATTTTGCTACTTAGATCATTAAAACTCTGGTAGATTTCTACATCCATTTCGGCCATAATCTTGGTTTATTTAAAACTTATACAATCCTAGTATTTCAACAGTAAAAACTTTGAAAAGATTGATCGCTTTAGTTAAATAACACTTGGCATGTACTACTAATTAGTTAGGAACATTGTGTTTTTGCTGTTGATTAAACACACTAAAATACTATTTGGGATTATAATTATATTATACTACGACTAAACATACCTTGTTGTGGTTTTTGTATTCAAAGGTAGTTTCAATATACTTAAAAAAAGGATGTTGTGATAAAACTGTATGTACTGCATACAAATTATTTTGAATCTTGAATACGATCTGTAGAGGACTTTTTTTAACAAAATTAAGTTAGTAAATAATATTGAGAGTTCATCTTTAGACCATATATAGTGCATTAAAAGAAAAAGTTTATATTAGTACTTGATTTTCTTAAATTAATAACTATGTTTTGTTTCTTGTGAGTTTGAAGATTATACGCGTATAATTGCCTCCATAAAATATTGTTGCAGAAAGTTATAAGTCTGTGTAGAAGGATCGCTGTTGTTATATCCGTACTAATTAGCAATAATAGAGCGTGATTAACTTTGAACTCTTCCTAATGCAGTAATACTACCCTACTTTCTTGGTAAGTATAATGAATGAGTATATTCAATTTCTAACGACAATGACACCGCAACTAAATATTTCGTTAACTTAAAAAAATTGCTTTCTCTTAAGATTTTTTGTTCTATTTAAAGTCTCCTGAGTTTTGTGCTGAAAATTTATCAATTAAGATTGTAGACTGAATCATATCTAATTGTTGTTCAAGTTAACGTGGATTCAATAAAAGCAGTGAGGATTTTATTTAGAAATAACAATTTTAAATTACCTAGTCCATTAGCCACTTTAAATTATTTCATTAGAAGTATAATTTATATATATGTGCTTCTAAAATAAATTCATAAAAAGTAAATTATTATTAAGTGGATGTTGAACTTCTGAGTTATTAAAGACAGTAGAATAGCACCGATCAGTAGACGAAAAAAAATAATTACTCACATTGTTCAGTTCAATATATGTTTCTCCGATGGAGTCATCCCTCGAAAACCTATCGTAGTCAAAAACGTGCAAGTGAAGTGTTCTGTTATGCAATTTTTGCATGGTGAAACCTGAAAAACAAAAAAAATGTATGTATAGTTTAATGATTCGAATATAACTATAAACGCATTAAATATTTTCTACAACAGTAATGTGAACAGCTCAGAACAAAAAAACTGTTCAGTTTTGTACCTAGAAAAATCACCTTTGCCGAGCCTTCTCTGCAATGTACAAAGCGTTCTGGAAAATTATATACTGTTATAACGAAACGTTTGTCGGTCATTTATCGGGTCGTCGTTTTGACTCATTGAGCTGTGGTGGTCCTATATAATTCTGAATAACGATTTGTTCAAATAGAGCTCGATCATTGAGTTAGAATATATTTCATACTAAAAGTGTGTGATGTTTTACTACACTTAGAGTTATATTAAATAAACAATTATAATTGATATTGTAGTAGTATATTTACTATTGGTATTTTACATATAAATGAATGTGAAGATTATATACGTTTAAATGTTTTCCAGTTGATACTTTCATTTTATTTAATCTGTATTACACACATTAAAATTGTAAAATATTTGAAAACTATTAAAAATTTATAATTGAATGTAGAATATAAAATTACATAGATATAGTAATATGGGTATTAGACCACTCACTGAGTAGGCTTATTACTTTCTAACTTTTTATTCTACAAATGCTTATAAACAATTCATCAAAAACCATTGTCATAAAATCACTCGGTTGGATATAATACACACTTACCCTGAAAATATAATGTTTCATTCCATCGTGGATTTAATGTCCGGCGTTTAACTTTTGTATCTAACCGGTGTTTTTTGTCTGGTAGTAAAGTAACCCTAACATACGGGTCGGATGTACCGCTTAAGTCCATAGCCGGCAAGTCTTTAGCCTGGAAAATTGTAATAAACGTTTACAAATTAAAATTTCATATTTTAAACTATGTATTAATTTTCGCTTTAAGGATATTAAATGCGAGTACATTATCATTTTTGATTGTTTAAAAATTATTTAAATGAAAAAGCCTGTTATGAAATATATTTATTTTGTAATTTACTAATTACCATATGTGTATTGCCATGTAAAATAATGAGGTATGGGATGTTACTCTCATTAGAATCTTTAAACACTCCTAAAACATTGTTTTAGTCAGTACGATTCCATTGACACAGCTGTTTTATTCGTCTTGCTTCTGAAGTATATGTCATTAAAGAGTCGGTATAACCCAACACATTCACTAATTGAAGGAACACATGATGAATTTGCAATATTATATTTCATCTCATAATTATTATTTTATGTATTAATCAGTAATCGCAACGTCTAGAAACGTGCTTCTTAGAATATTTATTAATTTTCTATTCAGTGTACGGAAATAATGCAAAATTATGAATATGTATAGATGATTAATTATAAAAACGCTTAGGTACTAAAAAGCAAAATCACAAAACAACGAAAACATGTGTTTTTGCGAACACATTTTATTCTATACAAGGAAAGTAAACTAAATGCATAAGAATAAATAAATATTTCTTTGGATGTAGTAAGTATATTTTTTGTGTTAAAAGAAGAAGTGTAAACAAAAATTGGAGTATTTTTTCTTTGTTAAAATTTACATATAACAATGCGTACAGCTGTAGTAGAAGACCTGCAATGACTATAAAGTCAATGGAGGATATCCGTACTTAAAAACTTAACTGATCCATCACACTATACTGACAACTATAGCGCTTTTTCTGAATAACATTAGTTATAAAATAAGTCACTTATAAAAAATAACTGAATATATGTTATGTCAAATTATTTATTTGAAAGCGTTCTGTGTAATTATTTAAGACAAATAAGCCATATAATATTCGAAATATTTAGGAATTTAACTACATAGATTCTTAAAATCAATTTATACAATTAGAAAATACATTATAAGTAAAAAGATAGTAAATTCTAGTTGTTTTAGAGTAACTAACTTTATTCAATCTATTTATATGAAAAAGCACTCTCAAAAATTAAACAAAATGATATATAAACATTTACGGTGACTATTGATTTTTAAAATGAATATTTCATCCAGTTTACTATTAAAATGCTTATCTAAGAACTTATAATAAAAATAAATTTTATTAACATCACTTAATTCGGTGTTTTTTAAATGGAAATTCATTTTATGAATATTCTATTTTGATGAATGCATGAAATGTTTTTTATACATTTTATGAATATGTTTTTTCTTCTTATTTACATCTCAAAACTATATAAAAAAACATCTGGTATGTTATTTGAACATTTTAATCTTATGGTAAAGCTCATGCTCCGTTACATAACGTTTTGTTATATATTACTCGGTTTTAAAAAACGAGGTCGACACATTAAGTGAAAAAAGCTCATTTTGTTTTTATTAAAGTTTTCCACAGAATTAAATATATTTCTTATAGCACGATAGAAATATAAAACGTCGAATGGAATACATTTTTATCTAAACTCATTAATTTTATAAATAAGAGTAAATTATGTAGAAGATTCTAGTGTCCACAGTGATGAATGAGTTTTTCACTGACGATAAGATTATATAAGAATTACAATTGTATTTTTCTCTTAAACCTGCATTATCAAAAATAGCTATTAATCAAATTTTTCAATAATTAATTAATTTCATTGTTTTTTATACAAATTTAATAATTAATAAACTATTTTCTAAATTCAAATAATTATTTTGATTTGCCTTAAATTTTAAACAAATTTCTTCCAATAAAATAACTTTATCTTTCAATAATTCATAACTCTAATATTTTAAATTAAATATTTTTATAACTTAAATTTGAATAAATTAAATTTTAGCATTTTTGAATTTTGGACTCGATGCGTAGCTATGAAGCTAATGGTTTTATTTTGCCATGTTTTTAATTTTGTTGAAAAAACATGTACATAACATTAAAACATTAAATATTCTATTCGTGTAGTATGTTTGAAATACTGGACTCTTTTTTTGAGACAGTTTTACAATACAATATATTTCATGTACAGAATGTCTCGGATCTAACTGATAACGCTTATAACTTTTGATACAATTATCATTTTGTTGAAGTTTTTTAAATAATGGTTGCATTTATAAACTATGTTTGATGCGCATATTTCATTATTTATCATTAATAAGTAAAAAAAATTAAATGTATTTTATTTTTATCAAAAAAAAACGGCGAAATGAGTAGGCAAAAATTATACACTCATGTTTAGGAGATTATTATTAGTTAACTTTAATTAAGATATTTTGAGATATACAAGCAGAATTTATATAATTTTTTATGACACATAATGATGTTTTTTTAAGAATTAAAATCTGAATAAATTACCCAAGGACTAAAGACAACAAACATTTTATACATTATTAAGTACGCGCTTTTGAACAGTATGAGTTATTATTTCTATTTCTTAAGTTAATTAAACGATATGTATTGTATGATTGAAAAATTGAGTGCTATTTATATTGCCCGTTGAATCAATGTAAATATTAAGCAAAAAGTCCAAGAGATTACTGTACTTAAGTTAGCCTAGTAATTGTTTTACACTTTTGCCATAGGAAACAATGATTACTTACTAATAAAAAACAGTTTTTTCTGTAAATTTTTTTTTTATTATTAAAAGATTACAACCAAAGATGTTTAAACAATTGACGTTCTAATCATGAACCAATATTAAGTAATTTAACTAAAATAATTACTTTAGTTGTATCAAATTTATTGTATAATATTATGTAGGTGTACAATGTATTACATTAAAAAAATGGCATAATCTTTTTTTTCGGAGTACTGCAGAAAAGTAAAACATTGACACAATACATTTTTGTGGGTCAAATTAATAATTTATCACACATGTGCTTAATGTAGTGTAATAATATATAACTAGCTAAACTACATTCAAATGAAATTATATCACAATATAATAGATATATTTATTATACTACCCTCATAAAAATAACATTTGTCAAATTTATTTTATAATACAGATTTAAGAAAGAATAATAATGACCGGTATTACACTTTTTACAAAAAGCCATGTTATAAAGACTTGTTCAAATACAAATTTATTTTTAAATAAAAATAATGGAATGACAAATTGAAATAAAAATGCTTTGGACTTATTTGTTATATAGAGGGAAAACTTTTACTCTTAAAAATCTAACAACAATGGCTTCTAGACTATATAGTTAAACGATTACAGAAATGTAATTTCTCACGAGTATTTGTAAGATTATTTATATTAATCACTTTAAGTAAAATTATTCTTGTTAATCTTTGTTAGTAAACATTTTGTTTAACTTTCAGAAAATACTAATAGAATCTTGAATATACTTTAATTTACCTAAGGTACTTATAGAGGTTTTAAATATTTTTACTTATAAAATAATAAGCCATTTGAAATATTAGACCAAAGTTCTAACATAGTTTAAAACTAGTTTACGTTTTATGTCTGCAATTTAACGTAATTTTCTTAATCGTATGCTTTTAACACTGTTGCAGTTATTAATTTTGACACATTTGACAATACCATTAAATATTTCTCAATGACATTTCTTCTCCCACCCAGATATGAAAATATCAATAACTTCCAATATACTAGTTCAAATGTTGTTATCGACCCATTATATTCTTAAATAGATAATTTCCAATTATATACGCAAGGAAAATGCAAAAATAAAAATAAAAATGCAATTATAAAAATAAAAGTTGACGCCCCTACAAGATATAAGTGATGATATCACAACTGATGAATCAAAAAATATATGCAACTAAAAAAAATCAAAAAATTTTTTTATACATTGTATTTATTTTGCGATTAATTTAGTGGGTTATGATAATAAGATCACTTTATATGTGTACGTTGTTGAGCAAAAATATTTTGGATATATAGTTATATTGTGTGATAAACATGAACGTGAAACGAAAATTATCTTACTATTGTGAATAGTATTCAATTTTAAACCAAAACATTGCTTCAAACCATTAATATTCATATTATAATTTCAAAATAAGTATAACGAAAGACGATTTTATTATCATATGACTGAAAATGCACTTATTATTTATTAATTTATAATAAAATACTTACTATAGTTTGTAATATTATGTAAGCACCATCATATCACATATTATTATTTGTATAATCGACCGCCTGGTCAATATTTCGTGTGAGGTGCGTAGTTCTTTACGAATAATAAGGTAAAATAGCATAGATTAAAGTAAATTAAAGTGCAACAATAAAGCTAATGTATTATAATAACAAACAAATATAAGATACTATAGAATTGAGGGTGAGATAGTTGAAAACACAAGAGCAAACGAACAAGTATTGTCACGAAACAGGCACGTACAGTAATTATAATGATGACTTCTTTTGCACAACCGGTGGTGGTAGTGCAAGCGGCATTGCCAACCACAACGAAATCCGTAAAAAAACGCCCCTTCGTTACTTCATATTCAACATTATTATTATTATTATTATTATTAACAGTAAGAGTATTATTCGACCATAATACTTCGCAATAAATCATCCACTATTTGTAAAATTATGTTATGTAAAAAAGTTTTATCAAACATAACTTATATGACTCGTCTAGTTGAAATCGAAGTTAAGTAATAAATATGAGTAATGGCCGCATTAGTTTGAGGATACGATAGAAAAGTTTATTCGTAATCTGTTCACATAGTTTGGTCAGGAAACTATATCACAGAAACTTGAAAGTGTCAATTTATGCTTCGCCTAAACATTAAATAGATTTAACTATTAAGTGTAAATTAAGTCAATCAGAACTGTCTTTGGCTTTCGAATAATTATTTAGAAATCCTCAATTTAAAATCAAATTAATCTTTAGTTGAAACAAGATTAAAACGGGAACAA